ATATTTCCTCAAGGTAAACTATTTATTGAAAAAAAAAAACATGTTATATATAGTATAAGTTAAATGAATCCGAAACCGAAGTGCATTTCCGTGGGAAAAAATATAAGGTTTCTTTAAATGAATGATTTAGGTATGACAACCTTTCAAGGTCACAGAGTCCAAATGTGTTGGAACATTTAAATAATTTATTTGGAATAACCATGAGGCTTTTAGTTATTATAAAAGACATACAGTGTGCAGAAATAGAGGACTATCAATTTTGTGTAAAGTGTATGTGTAAAATAAAAGCAAATCTATTTTAATATAAAACATTAATAAAATCAATGAACAAGCACATGCTAAAGTTTAGAGATGATTTAATGAAATCTGAGTTGGACAAATCTTGATGATAAACATAACAGATTAACATACTCAAATGAACATGTTTGATGGCAATGCCACTACGGGCAGAATGGTATTCTTATTACATATAAAACTGCGACTATTTCCAAAATTTGGCTCTGTCTCTCAGCAACACCCGTCCCTCGTTAGGTCCCTTCTGTCTGCCCTATGCATTGGGGTTGCTTTTACATTGCTCTACACAAAATTTGGTTAAAGTCCCTCCAAATAAACTGTAGGAGAAGTTTTTATACATTTACTACAATGTTCCTCTTACTAAACCCTTCCCACTTGCTACCAGGTGGACCACCGTCTCTGTTACAAGTCCATGTACCAAATGATGCTCTAGACCAAATTCGGTTCAAGTAACTGCAATCATATTGGAGAAGAAGGATTTTTGAAGATTAACCTCAAATTCCCTTATTGGCCCTGCCCTTGTAAAAAAAAGGCGGTCAACACCCTTTTATACAAAAATGAGTCCCCTAAGCCATAGGATACTCTACACAAAATTCGATATAAATCCCTCAAATCATACTAAAGGAAAAGGATTTTAATCAGTTATTAAAATGTTCCCCCTATTACGCCTAGTCCCTCTTCCCCCAGGGGACCACACTCTCCGTTCAAACAAGATAGGGCCCCCTTGCCCAAGGACGTTCTGGACCAAATATGGTTAAAATTCCTCCAATGGTATATAAGAAGAAGGATTTTAAAGATTTTCATTAATTTTCTTTATTGGACCCTACCCCTTGACACCCAGAGAGGCAACAACTGCCGTTTAAACAAAATTGAGTCTCATTTTCCCAAGGATGATCCAAGCCAAATTTAGATAAAACTCCTACAATGGTACAGAAGAAGGATTCTAAAGGTTTAACCCTCAAATTCCCTTATCGTGCCCTGACAATCCGCACCCTCTGTTTATACAAAATTGAGTTCCCATTGCCGTAGGATGCTCCTAGCCAAATTTGGATAAAACCCCTACAATGGTACATAAGAAGGATTATAAAGGTTTACAACTCAAATTCCTCTATTGCGCCCCGCCCCTCTTCACCCAGACGGGCCACACACTCTGTTTATACAAAATTGAGTTTTCTTCGACCAAGGATGCTCCAGGCCAAATGTGAACATAATCTCTCAAATGGTATACAAGAAGGGAGAATTTTGAAGATTTTAAACCTAAAATTCCCATACTTGGCCCGCCCCTCTGAACCAAGAGGGGCCACACCTTCTGTTTATACAAAATTGAGTCAATTTTGCCATAGGATGCTCCAGGTTAAATTTAGTCAAAGTTAATAAAACTGTTGATAACGTGTAGCGTTTTAAAGGAAAAATTGACGGACGGACGACGGACGCCGCGAAACGGACGGTACGGTACGGACAAGGTGAGCTACTACATATTTGTTTTAAAAAAGACCAAAAGGCTGTAACTTTGCATATGAAACGGCATGGACCGAAAGTTAGATTGCGACACTCTGCCTTTCAAGGATATATTAGAAAAGCTGCTGGTATATAGTACATAAGTCATAGCATAACAATACCACATTGTTTGCATTAATATAATCCACGACCAAGTTATGAAATGAATGTCCTAACTTTAGACAGCCAAGATGCCATCCCATTAAAAACTGTTACCAGCCAATATTAGTCTTTTCCACTTATTACCTTACAACAGTATTTGTTGACATCGGTCTTCTTACTCTTATGCTTGAGAAATTTCTTCAATTCACTCTCGACCTAAAGTGGAGTTGATGCTAGTCCACGATATGATTGTTTATGTAAAAAAAAAACACACATATATTCACATTGTAAGAAGTCTATTGATTATTTATAAAATCTTTAAAAACTCACAAAAACAAAACAGTGAAAAAAAACAGCCTACAAGTCAGCATCGCTCTAGTTCTATTACGTATTTAAAAAAGACATAATACTTTTATAATATGTGACCTATCTTTGCGCACGCTTAATTTCGCGAGCTGACCTTCTGTATATTTCAAGAACATTAATCCATGTTCATAAAAAACAAATTAGTTTTGTATGTCTCATTTTAAGTTTCCATTTTATGTTTATATTCTTCTTATTTTACCAAAGTTTTGAGCTGGAACTGCGGATTTGTTAATATTTTATTACTTCTCATCTACGCATATAAAGTTTCCTGATCGAGTCCAATTACAACATTCTGACCCACATCGTTCCCAACCTTATGCTCACACCAATCCTTTAATATATCCTTGAAGAAGGGCTGAAATAATTTACATAAATTCTGATATTTTGCCCTATTCCACTGATCCTTTATATTTCGTTTATACAAATTGATTTTTATTTTTCAAAGTAGGTAATTGTCCAATCAGCCACTTAACATTATTACGGAAATGATGCCATATTGCAATGCTGTGCCCCGAGTGCATTTAACACGGCCCCAATTGGCGTGACTACAACACTTCTATGAGAGGTGTAACCTATCGCTATACCGATGTAGTGTAAAGACATTTCTTTCCTTATGAACACTGCTGCTCCGGAGTCGCCTTGCTGGAAAATGGTTTGTCCTTTTACCTCATACTGGTTTTTAATGTAGAAACACTCTTGTGTTAAGGTATCGTAACGATTTCCGCCGACGGTTATCGAGGTCCGGTTCGCCAGTATAGCGAAATAATAGTCACAGACTATTTGAAATCTGCCACATACAAAATGTCACTTCGGGCAAGCTCAGGAATCCTTCTAGAGGGATCTTCTCAGTGTCAGTAATAGTCAAAGTAAGCTCAGTCAAATTAATTAGTAGAAAAAAATGACAAAGGCCAGATTTACAAGTATAAATGGTATTATTTTGTAAGAAACAGAATAATTATTTACAATACAAATCATTCAAATATAGCAATCTCAAGCTTTCTCTTGCACGCTATTCCACGCTAATATATTACAATCTTTCCCAAATTAGCCAATAAATTACGAAATAATATAAGTCTCAGTCCACCCTCAATAATAAGAGTAATGCAGTTGTAACAAGTAAACAGGTTGACTATATGTTATTGGAAATTAACACTAAATGACCTAACGCTCTATTAAATTATAGTAAAGGGCCTGCTTTTGCAATAATTAAACTTAGCAAACTGCTACAGTGAATTGGTTCTAAGTAATATTGTCTATAAAGACTAATTGAGCTATTATGTCGGTGATAACACAGGACAGCAACAATCCTAGTCAGGAAGATAAACTAAGTAATACTGGACTATTCATGGAATATGAGCTGAACACTGGCTATTTGACCACGAAAAATGATCTCAATAAAATGTTAACTATTAGATTAGTCACGTATTGCCTAAAAGATACTGGTGATAATACCAGGAAATATCCCAAGTGAATGATCTCTCAATGGCTACTGAAGCCAATGCGCAAGAAACGCGCTATTTATACCCAACGGACATCCCAGTGACAGCCACTGGCTGTCAAATGGCAACCTGAGGCAACTGCAAGTTGCCAACGTAACCAAGTTACATACATATTCTTCAGAACTCAACATTCATTTTCAAATAGTTCCTAAGAAAAATAAACATAAGCTAACAAACAAGTTATTTACAATTACAATTATGATATTTGAACATAAAGTGCGATCTGGAATCTACTTAGAATCCGGTTGAGCCGGATTTGACTCTAAATTTACTATACGACTCAAACACCGAACGACCTTCACCGCCATAGTTGACGATAGCAACTGTTCAAGTTAGGCGACAGAAAACATCTATTATAGCTGAAATAAATCGTAAGTACATCAATTTACATTGTGTTTATGTTCACTGGGTGACAATAATGCAGGGAAATGCAGTCTTTACACCTTCGGCTGTTAATAATATATATAAAAGCTCTCTGAAGTTGCGTTTTCAACACTGGTAGGGCTGGTCAATGAACACGGCCGCACACAGAAGAAATCACTGTAAACCATGTGGAAGGAACTTAATGCATTTCCACACGAATTATTATACATCCATGTGGCCATAAACAACCCTGCATGTCCTTATACAATGACTGATATATACAAGACTTGTTAAATTATATAACAATCATATTAGAACAGTTTACATATAATACTATTATATGCTTGAACATTTCTAGCAATCACATTGGTCGGATCCTATACACGTGACCAGTCCTCAAAAGCTCATGTAGACTGGTTTTCCGGTGAAGATCGATTTCGGAACCTGTGGTAGCGCAAGCCCAGTTAGACCGGAACGCGATCTGTCAGACGACAATAGAAGATGGCTGCTGGCGAACGTTTCTCCTCTGTTACATCAGAAATTACCAAAACTATTCGAAGATAAGATGCTGTTAACATAAAAAGGCCATTGAACACGCAGTGCATGTTCTACATGCTTATCTTAAGAAAAAGAACATAGACGATGCCTTCGAAAGCTACTATGCTGAACTGTTGAATTCAAACCTGGCTACATTTAACACGGAGGCTCGCGTACGAAAATCAGAACTTTGAGTTTATTTTGTTTTATTTTATTGTTGAAGCATATAATAAAACAGTTCTGGTAAATATAATGTGATATATGAACCTGAAAAAGTGATATTGACATCGGCTGTGCCTCGGTCAATATCACTCTTTCAGGTTCATATCACATCATATTCACCAGCACAAAAGTCCATAATTGTATAATAGTGATCAGCTGATCAACATATAAACAATAACAAGCGATCTCCCATTAGGTAGAGTAACAGTGTATGACATGTAACAAATGTCACCAACAATGGTGAGAATTACCCACTTCGTTACAGTATGTTTCAAAACACAAGACAGAGGCCGCGTTTTTAAACCATCAACCACCAGCATACCCCTTGTCAGGTGGCTTTCGCTTCCGAATATGAAAACTGTAGAGTCATCGATCTCTGGAGTATTCGTGGCTATCAAACAAGTGTTATATTCTGGTAGCTCATCAAAACCTACTATAACAAGGAAAATATCGCTGTACGTATAATATATGAATCAACCAGAAACATGATTGTCTTGTCAACACAAAACAACGGGATTAGATGAGATGTATCGCTGCAACTGCATCCTGCGCATTAACTCCTCAACGGCGGCTTTCGTAAATTGCCCATCCGGCATTAGCCTCACACGCTTGCTTCTATTTGTTGAAAACTTACATTTTGTTTTTCAAATTAAGAAAGCATTACTTAACGTATTGTTGGATGTCTACAATGCCCGATGCAACGAAATGTGTTATGAAGAAAGACAAAACCTTTACACATGTGTTCACATGGCATCAAATCGGCCGGACTCCGCATTAACAAAAGATACAGCCGTATCACATTTCTCAAAACATACTCTATTATTCATTACAAATTTATCATCAAAAACAATTTAAAATGAAGTTATTAGAGTTACAAAACACATTTTCTGTAAACAGATATGGTGGCGTTGACTTTTGCCGTAACACCCTGAAACCTAACATTTTTGTTTGCGGTGTTCTAATTGTTGCCTATCGCATATAATCTTTTTTCAACTCAATGTTCTTTCATAAATGAGGTCACGAGAAAGATGACCAAGATTTTCGAAAAATGCTTATATATTGATATTGAGTGTGATACTCGTTTGTGAAAGCAAAACAATATTTTTAGCTTGAATGGGATTTGATATTCAATGAGTCATATTTTATTTACATGCTGGTGCCGCCTACTGCTGAGTATCATTACCGCCCATAATATATCATTAAACATTTAACCTTAAAGTTTGAGTTTATCGTAAACAAAGCGTTGCATTTCCAAGCCTTCGAGGTTGTAGCCCGTACATTTACATCACTAAATCACCTGCAACTGCAAATCGCGTGCGGGATAACAATTACATCAATAATTAAAAAGTGAAGAACGATCTGAGTGATTACAAATTCAATAAAGCAACACGTATATATCGTAGGTTTGCATACCTGATTCTCTTAACTTGTAACTGTGATCAATGGCAAATCTTCCTCTTTTCGGTATCCTAGCTGGGTCAGATATAGTTACATCGGCAACATCAATGCTGGGATTCAAACTTGGGTCAAAAATTGCCCTCTTCACATGGGAATTTACCAATATATATTTTAGTAACATAATTATATCCAGATGATTTGGGTAATGTCAGACAGGCATACACACATAGGGAGATATTAGCCAGGTGGCATAGGACTAGTAGCTAGCGCCTGATAAGGCAGCTCCTGCGAATTCCTCAATATTGTATTGATTAATATATATATGCTAATTGTATTGATTGTATAAAATTATATATATATATGTACTGTAAAGCGCTTTAGAGTGGCTTATGCTAGCTAGATAGGGCGCTATATCAAATGTTGTATATTTATTTATTTATTTCACAAACCTGCATGGCTTACCACTTTGAACGGAAGCACTGTTATGGCGCTGCACGACATAGAGATTGTCGAAAGAAATCAAACAGCACATGAGCGCATGTCGGAAAAGACAAACTACCTTCGTACTTCACGAACGGACCAATTGTTCCTTCAGACTTTTGTACTTGTTTTTACATCGCACCTATTTCATATCCCATTATGAGATAATCATGACGAAAAGTACTTGGCCTTTTCTCATATCTACCGTTCGTTAAATCTCTGTTCTGAAATTGTTTTCCATTGTCTTCCTTCATAGAACCGGCATCCTTCATCACAGTACCGGCATCCTCCATCACAGTACCGGCATCCTCCATCACAGTACCGGCATCCTCCATCACAGTACCGGCATCCTCCATCACAGTACCGGCATCCTCCATCACAGTACTGGCCTCCTCCTTCCGGGTACTGATATCGCCCAAATCATCTGGAAATAATTATGTTACTAAAATATATATTGGTAAATTCCCATGTAGCACTGTATCCATACAAACGTTTGTTTGTAGGATATGAATTACAATAATTGATATACGGTACAAGGAGGAAATTCGAACAGGGTAAAGATATAATAGAATATAACTAATATTATAAAAATATAAAGCCCCCTGGCTAGTGTAAGCCGAAGACCGCATCGTTAGCCAATGATACTTTGTGTGCGAATAGCGACAATATAATATATCTGGGAGCGTGAATATGATGAAGCTAGAAAAAAACACACAGTATCATTGGTCAACGATACGGTCAGTGTAAATTCTGCCTTTGGTTTTCGCTAGCCGGGGTGTGTGTATTGTGTTTAATTATTAGTTATATCCTATTAAATTTATATTTTGTTTGATGAAATGTAAGTGTTCTGTGTTTTTTGTGTCTCGATAAAGGAGGGGATTGCTCCGAACAATTGACAACATCATATTGTTTACACTGTTGGAATTACTTCAATGGTCATATTTAGTTTACTGACAAACAATAGATACGAAGATCAGATACAACATACTGAAACGATACCGATCATTGCATTCCTATTAACACAAAAAGGGGGAAGATAATGCTTTTATGTCTTTCTTGAAGGAATTGTTGGCATTTATTTTCAAAAGTGTAGTGCAATAATGTGACAGATATGGCTAATATAGAAAAACTATTTTTTAGGAGAAAAAATCACGTAACGAACATATCGTATATTTTTCACAGGTTATCATATCACTGATGCATAAATACTCAGAAAGAAATAAGTGAATTTACAACTCACCAATACTATTGATTTCGACAAAGGCTGTGTCACTTTCCGCTTCACCTGCTCTATTCCTTGCCTTACAGAAATATATTCCTCTGTCACTTTTCTTTACATCACCGATAGCAAGTGATGGAGATTGTGGTAACCCGCCAAAATACTTTTCGTTGTCAATACAGATAACGTTAGATTTGCCATCCTTTACCCTGACCCACTGGATAGATTCGGTTTCCGCTGTGGCGACCACAACACATTTCAAAATGGCCACTTTTCCTTCAGTAAATTGGTAGTGTCCTCTACTTAAACGTATTGTTGGTACATCTATAAAGAAAAGAAAAAGGCCCAAAAGGGCTTTATCGCTCACCTGTTATTGAATAGTGTTGGCAAATCATGTTTAAAAGGCAAAATATTGCAAGCTGTCTATAGTCCAAAGAACAGGAAAAGATGAAGCCATCAATGTATTGTTATTCAGACTGAACAATTAATATATTTAAGTCAGCTTTGCACACAAATATAAAACAGTAAATCATGCTTATAAAACATGGTTAAAGGTATATTATTCTATGTTTATGGACTTCATTTAAGTACGCGAAACTCTGATTTCCAAGACGTAGTCGAATACTTTTGTATACATTTTTAGGTGATAAAGCATATGAGATGCGACGCCCGAGACACAGTTTCAATAATGTTAGTAAGAATTCGCATCCAAATTTTAAAGATTATGAAGTATGAAGAGACGCACGTACGAACTGATTGATGGATTGCAAAACTAATGTCTCCTCCAGAAATACCGTAGGCAGGACAATAAGCGTAAGTCTCCTAAAGGATGATATGTATTTCAATAACAGGATAGGTCATATTTCATGACCCCATAAAATATCAGTGTTGAAAAATATTATGGTTATGGTATTTGAATTTGTTAAAGTTTTTTAACCCTGTAACCGTGAGAATAGGCTCAAATAATTCATTTGAAAACATATTTAGAACATTTTTTTTCTTAGTAACCCCTTGCCAAATGTGATGAATGTGATGTTTAGTCTTTAAAAGGAAGTTGTCCAAAGGAAACCTTTTGACTGACATACGGACAACGGACACGCGCCATATCATAAGGAGCTCACAGGCCTTTCACGCAAGGTGAGCTAAAAACGAAAGTTTGACACAGAAAGAAAGAATTTTATTTGTATTATTTAACGAAATTGCGAGTTATGCCTTATTTATATTACATGAGAACGCTTTCTGCAAAAGAAATTAATTCAGTAAATATTTTAAGAAAATGTCGTTTTATTTCCTTGCTTAAGACCTGTCAATCTCTTTTTTCAGTGTCTCACTTTTAAGGAATTGAGCTATGTCATGGTTGCATTGATGCTATGGTGCAAGTGACATATCTACTTAATGAAGAAAAGTTTATTTGTATGTGATTGTTCGCATATAGTTAGCATTTCCACAAAAATAGGCAACAAAACTGCATCCCCATTAAAACAATGTTATATTAACTTATGATTATTAGCTGATCAACTTAAGCTAATTTCTTAAATATTTATCACCTAGTCAGAGTTGAATTAAAACAATATGAGCAACAAGGCGAATGAATGCATGGTTAAACATACGTGTGAAAATGTGATTTTCAAAATAGATCTGTAAATTAAATTTGTGAAAGATTAACACATTTTCAGAGGTTATGCATTTCTAGATTATAAGATATAACATATGATAAACATGAAACTACATCTGTGATTAGTATTAAGCGGATGGTCTCTATAAAAATGAAATGTTTTATTCTGATTTCGTTAACGTTTAACAAAACAAACATATTTTTTCAATAGTCAGAAATTCAATGTTTTCCTATTCTTTGTTTTGATTTCGATTAAATACGGTCGTATCTACTTCTTGTCAACTCTAGGCATGAAACACTATCATTGAGACTAAATTAATGGCATCAAACAAATCAACAAACCTTTCGGATTCTCCGTTGGTATCGTTACTTTTGGTGTAGTCTTCAATACTAGAGGTACGTCTGACTCATCCTTAAGTACGATCTGCCTGTTTTGTAGTCTCGTCCTAAGCGTCACCGCCAGGTACAAAGCAGACGATTGGTGTGGAGTCTGCGCTTCGCTGATTGTAAACTTTAGAACTATTGATCCTAGAGTAATGAGTAAAGTATAATTTCAATCTGGTATTTTATGAAATTATGCCCAAAATACAAAATTTGATTTACAAAATTTACCTCGGTAATTCAATGAATTTTTTTATGCACAAATGCAAAATTTCTAACATGAAGTATGAAACTTGAAATCTTAAAAAACAAGAGTCCAAAAGCCACATTGCTCGAAGGTTGATTAAACCACATTTCATTGTATGTTCAAAACAAAGATATTTCTATTGGTTTTTTTCAAATTTTTATCAGGTAAAATAATTTTCTTCAGAACAATATCGTTTGATGTACTTACTTTTAAATATGAATATTAATTGAGAGATCTATAATTTTGACCTTTTGGCAATTGCCACGAAAATCGGTTATTAATTTAGTTGTTCAATTCTGAAAACAAAAATTGCTTTTTATCATTATTACCAAATAGTTACTATTAACAAATCTTACTTTAAAATCCGGTAATTGATTTAATCGTTCAACTCCAAACAATATTGCTTCAAGTTATTATTATCAATTATTTATAATAATAGTAATATGGAATATGACTAAGTGACCTTCAATGTTTACATTTTTACCTTGGAAATTGATAATTGATTCATGTGTTCTATTCTGAACAACTTTGCTTCATATAGTTATTGCTGAATATGTACCTTTAGAGATGTATGAAATACAAACTCTGTGATATATGATTTTAACACTGAAACTAGTTCAGTAAATGTATTCTAGTTGTTCATATTCTGAATAACATTGATCATATGCGTATTGCTTAATATTTACCATGGAAAAGTTTAAAGACCTCAGTAATGGTACTTAATTCAGTTATTCATAATTATTATAACTTACAAATACATTTGTAGTTACATGACTTAATAAAAAAAAAAAGGGCCAAAGGTTATGGCAGCAGCAAGGTGTTTGGCTTGGTCAAACTTGATTGATACTGTCAGTGTTCATATAATGATTGAAAAATATTTGTTTTTCCATTTCTTGTTCGTATGAATGCAAATCTATTACATACATATTCCATTAAGCCCGCCAGTTGGTCAATATGTATGTAACCGGTTTGCGTTCATACCTGCATGAACATTGTAAAAGCCGTTCAATCCTTATATTTACATTCTGGTTTGGTCGTTATTATTGACCAAAACAAAGATATTCCCTAATATTTTTCATTATTGAAATGGCTGTGTCGTCATTGCAAACAAGATTTCTGGAATAGATTAACGCCACAAAAATGTTTGCTTTAAATGGTAGTCTTACGTAAATCGAGACGGAATCTAATCGCGTTCATAGCCCTATGAACTCAATTGCTTATGGTAATGCTTATAGAGGAGCTTGCAGTGGAAATGTAAATATGATAAAAAAAAACACCATTCGCAAATTCCACTGTATCTCTCTCTTTATAGGAAGGGTGTCTATAAGGCCCTTTTTTAGGCCCCGGTATATTCGGATTTTCACCTCCTTAATTTGTTCAAAGATATCCTATTGTATGACATGCGGAAAAATTAAGGTAAAACTTTGACCGAAAGTGGGTTTTTGGGGGGATCAAAAGGGGTATGGTAAATCACAAATATAGTTTTCTGTTTTCAAAATGAGCTTAAAAACTAAAATAATACCATTTCTGATTTTGAAAACATGTATAAATTAGACCAGCATATGTCACTCATTTAAGTAGACTTACATAAATTGCATATTGACTACATACTTTCCTTTTGGTTTATACTGAGTTATGGCTTCTGGACACATCACAAACTTGGCTTTTTCAAATATCTCTCAATTTTAAGTGAATTAAAAGGTGCATGACACCCTTTATATGCTATAAGTATAAGATATCAATTGTTTGTATTGTATATTATATATATCATATAATATTTGCTCAACACCTGAGGCTGAAGTGAGTTCCAGGTCCTGATTTGTTTTTTTACTTATCAAAGTTAACTTACAAATTAAAAAAAATGGCATTTGCCACCACAACTACTGAAAAATGATTGCTTTAATATATGAAGTTTAATTTACTGGTAATTTTAAGTCACTTAGCCTCAATGAAAGTATCTGCTTTAATCGTTAAAGTTATTTCATTGTTTTATCAAATGTTCTGTCTATTTCCAATGTTTATCCGCTGATTGTACATAAAAGGCATTTGGGATAAGCATGTAACTTGGTATAGAGTTTTGTTATACGATGATATTTAATTTGTGAAAGTTTCATACTTATCCCACAATGCCTTTTTACTCAAAAAAACATTTTCCTGTGATTTAGAGTACAAGGACCAAAGTGCATCTCATTGCCTTACACCAAATATTTCCTGACAATACTAGTCAGTATGAATGTATGTAGAATAAACAGGCTCAGTAGAGTATTTATAGTAGTAAGAGGGGCGTTTGACATGCTACACTGACCAAACGTCAGATAGTTTATGCTTTGAAAACGCAAAGAGAGACTAAGTTGTTCGTTCAAGTTAATGCTTGCAATTAACAGTTAATCCTTTTGTTAATTTCATACTGTTTATTTTATACATTCAATATTAGCTGCTACTCATATTATTTCTTTATTTCTTTTCTTCCCTTTTTGTTACATTACGTTAAACCATCATGATCATACTACGTACTTTTTCCAGCAACTACATTATTTCTACTTATTCGTCTGCAACCTAGCTTATTTGCTACGAAAGTTGTCCATTGACGAAAGTGAAGATTATTTTATACCAAATTATTAAAAGATCGTACAAACTTTTTACAAACTACACCTGTCAGAACTGCGAACAACAAACGTATAAACCTTACCCATTTTTCAAAAGTAATGAAACAAGTGCTTTACTGGCCCGGAAACGAACGCGCCAAAGTCTTAATATTGGGGGAAGAGAAAACCCACGGTGTCAGGCAAATGACCCAATATTTGTTCACGTCGGATCGGGTAATCGAACTCATGCCGCCTTGGTAAAAGGGTGAGTCAGCTACCCATTGCATCACCTCAACGGATGCTGATAGAAACATTCACAACTCCATTGTAAAAATACCCAGAGAGCCTGTATCGCTCACCTTAATATTCAAGTAGTCATATAAAAAATATTTTCATTAAATATTATACTGTTCAACAAATATTTTCAAATATTGGCTCTGTCTCTCAGCAATACCCTTACCTTATTTGGTCGCATCCCTCTGTCCCCATCGGGGCATGGCTTATACAACATTTAATCATATAGGGCCAAGGATACTCTATATTAAATTAGATTTAGATACTGATTTAGGATAAAAAAAATCTTATCTTTGACTCTTGGTTATTCAAAACAACCTGTTCCAAGATAAGGGAGCTTTTTGTTAATTATCACACTCTATGTCTTTCATTTCGTTAAAAGAAGCCGTTTACAGTTTTTGCAATATTTGACCCTGTGATATTGAAAGTAGGTTGAGATTACTTTCTTTTGCAAAAATTGTCAGGCTGCCTTTCGATTATTCAAAATAAGTCGTTTGACATGTTTAACATATTTGATCCCTGTGACATTGAAAGTGGGTCCAGGTCTTTTTCATTATCTAACTTTGTTGTTTGCAATCCAAACAGGCTCAGCCAAATATTAAGATTATATACCTTTCAGATCTTGACTTTGACTTATTGTGATCTTGATAGTAGGCCAATGTCATTGAAAAATTGACGGACGACGGACGGACGGACGACAGATACCGTACCATGCAATAAGCTCACTAACCCTTCGGGCAGGTCAGCTAACATAAAATCACAAAAACAAAATCTTCCTTACAAATAATCTCTGGTATTCAAAAAGAAAAAGAAAAAAACTTTACATTTCTATTTAGCGAATTCGAACAAATCATTAAGCCCTTGAAATGTAATCACGACGCCAATGAGATTCATTAACTTAATCATGAGGTTTTTTTATTTTAACTCACCGTTACTAATATTTCGGCATCAATTTCTTGGCTAATAACGCATGTAACTTCTTGTTAACAAACGTTTGCATACATTTTAAGTAAAAATGGATCATTCGTACATCACACTGTTTCGGATATTGTACACTGTGTGGATTATGACATCTCAAACATTATGTGATGTTTTATATACAAAAATAACACAGAGTAATGTTGCGTATGTCTTTTTTTTCAAGGATCATGACGCTCATATTACCTTTCCTCCCGACCCCTGTAATTCTGCTGTTGGCTTCTCTGTACTGCTCTGTGATTTGACTGGTACACTTTTGGGGTAAGTTTGGATTGTAACTACCCTCAAACGTGCATTCCAGTTCGGTAGTCGTTTCTTTTGGCATACCTTTGAACATATACAAATGTATTTTATGACAATCGTCTTTACTTAAACTTAATTATGACAACTAACATTAAAACAAGATGTCAAAACAACATTTCAGTTCACAATAAAGCGTATTGATTAACTAAATTTAAACCATGTGGATGCGTGAATGTAACATTGATTAAATCAATTAAAACCTTCCCCATTGCTTGCATGAAAAAACAAAAATACATTATGATGTTTAAGTACAATTTACATTATGCTTACCTCCCTTTCTAATTGTTTTTATATCAGCTTCTGCCTCCTTTATGATGAGCGAGGCTTCTTTATCTATTTCTTTAACAACGTCGAATAACTTCTTGTAGTGGCCGCAAGAAATATGGCCCATTCGTTTGAGATAATATACGTTGTCTTGTAGGTCATTTCCAAGTTCTGAAGTTGGCACATACACGCTTACTAATTGTATAAAGTCTGCCCAATGATTTGCTTTTGGGAAAATACGTTTAGATAAAGCGTTCACCATTCGTGAATGCCTCAATGAAATACGTTCTTTAATGCCTTCCTTATGAGTGGTTTCGACTTGACATGAAAGAAAAAAGAAAGAAAAAACATTATTTGTTTGGAGACATATTATACTATGATACTGTTATACAAGCATTTTGCATTTGATATATATGGTATAATGATGAGGATTAAATAAGAAAAATTGACTAACTTTCCATCTGTAATGAAAATGTGTTCATTCTTAAGGAGAGATAACGTACTTAAAAAGGAAAAGAAACATTAAGTACCACAGTAATACGAAAAGGCAACAAAGTAAGGCATAATAAAAATGTGAAGTCTTCAGGAAAGCCTAATGTTCCAGCAATATAGGATTTCAATCATCGTCAAAGTAATGCTACGGTTGTCCCATCACATGATCTTTAACTGGGTCTTAGTGTCTTTAATGCTTAAATATTTGTATGTTGTGTTTCAGATCGCTAGCTATTAATATTTGCTGTAGGGTTTTTGTGTTGTATTTAATGTTGACGTCTCCGTAGTTCCTCTTTTTCCCCCCTTTCTATGTGAAGTAACCGGATATTCAATCTTCTATTTACTCTTTTCTTTATTTGCCATGTGGTTTTCTATCAACACCAACGGATGCTCCAGCGCATGGTATTCATGACAAATACTCGAAAATATAATTAAGGAAACTTGATCACTAATTTGTATTTACCATATTATGTTATTGTTTTGTAGGGCTTTCTTTATTTTACGTTCAATAAAAACAACAAACAGTTCTGATACTTCGAATAAATACACACTCACAATCTCTATGTGAGACATACTACATTGTAGCTACTTAAGGGGAATTCTTCATGAGGCATGTGTTTGTCAACCAAAACAGTGTCGTCAAATTTACCAACAACATTATGTAAGTCTGTCACGTTAACTGACATCTATCGAATTTAGTTTATTAGAACATCGTCAAAATTACCAATAAAGTAGTATATAGATGGTAATGTAGTTTATTAGTACATCGTCAAAATTACCAATAAAGTATTATATAGATGGTAATGTAGTTTATTAGTACATCTCATCATTCTGACAGCCTTATCAGCGTTAAAACAAAACAAAAATATTTCACTTACCTGTTTCAGTATTTGCACTTTTACTATGTATTATCAAGTGCACGGAATTCCTTCCTTGTCCTGCATGGTTTTCTGCTTCACAAATATATTTCCCATCGTCATACATTTTTTCCGTTTCATCTATTATCAGCGAAGGAGATTGTAGCACACCGCCGTGGTATTTATCATTGTCAATTGCGATTTCACGTTCACGTCCTTCTTCTTCTTTGATCCATGTGATATTGGTTGCTGGTGGTTCCGCAATGACATTGCATTTTAAAATAACAGGGTATCCCTCAGTTTGATGATGTGTTTTTGGCTTCATATTCAGCGTTGGAGGACCTAAGGTTAATTTAAAACCAATACATATTTCATTAATACATTAATCATGACACACAACAAAGCGCCAGTAACATTTTTGTTTTGTTTTTCGGACCTAAAATTGAGAGTAGACAGCTGTTACTATTTCGTGGTTCTACTTCATATATTCTTTTTGTATGAGAAAAGTAAAGAAAGTTTCAATCAATCGGGAAATATAGTTGCAATATTTTTCACTTTAATACTCATTTGTCGTGACAAGGATGAAATATCAAATTGAAGCTTTTACCTTTTACTTTCAGCTTAGTAGGTATACTCCTCCTTTCCCCATACCTATTTGATACGGTACATACATATTTACATTAGGTGTGGCAAAGCCCTTCTATATTACTACTAACGTACTGCCAATAGCAGCTTCATCTTATGAGACTATAACTGAAGTTGGTCTTTGCTCCTCCGAGCGACTTAACAGTGTCACTACCGAACTTATCGGTATCTTCTGCTTTGATCCCAAACACCAGCTGCCTGTCTCAAGTGTTTTTGTGATCAACAAACAATTGTATGCCTGGATTTTTCACAAATTCAACCTTCTCCGGTTGCACGATCAACATCAACAACATGCCGGACTTCAAATATAACTCTGACCTGATTACTGCAGACTTCCGTTGGGTGCGTGCGCCGGATATAGTTTAAATTTCCGGAAAATGTTTTACGACATTTGATTAGTTACTTACAAAATGTCATTTGTTACTATTTATGAAACGAGAATATGATATATATATAAATCAAAATCAAATGAATTATTAACGAAATTTGCGGAGTCTTTTCAATTTTGTATGGGAAATAGCGCATGACGTCAGCTGTTATCTTTGTGCCGTTCTAGATACTTACCTGACCTGACGGTAATAAGCGGGAAATTTGAAATTTGGAAAAGACATATTTTTTTTTTGCGAATTCTCATTATAGAAATATAAATATAAGCAATAAACTGCATAGATGTGGCAGACCAACTGGAATAACTGCCACATGTGTAGCGCACACCATGATAAGTTTGTCTGTGACACATGTGGCAGTTATACCAGTTGGTCTGCCACATCTATGCAGTTTATTGCTTAAATAGCTGCCTTCGTCATCTTTCCTGATGTCTTCGATTACTAAGTGTGGATAATTCGGTTTTGATCCTGTATATTTTATCTCGTCAATATCCATTGTTACGGTTTGCTTCTCAGGTGAAATACGTTGCCATGAAACTGTTGTAATCAAAGGAGTAGCAGATATAGAACACTCCAGCTTCGCTTGTTCTCCGATAATGGCAGTATAGTTTTTTTGAAGTATTCTAACCGTAGGCAAATCTGAAAATTCACATTTGAAATATAACAAAAAACATTTCTTACTTTCTTTAGGTTCAACATGTCTTCGGAAAGGTTTTATTTTCAACAGTGTTTTATTTATTTTAAAGTTAATTATATAGATTGATTGTTGGTTCATATGTTTATTTCGCGGTCCATGTTTCCATCGAAGAGAAACAATCGTCATTCATCATGACGTCATGATGTCATTACGAAAGATGACGTCGAAAAATACCATTGACCCTGGACGTCATCAATGCAATGACGTCCAGGGTGCGGCCCGCTAGGGGGTAATCAGAAACTTCCAACTGTTTTACTCAACTACTCGTGAGTTGAGAAACCTATAGCGGTTTATGAAAGAAAATCAGCTTAAGGCAGGTGACATTGGTCAATACATGTTTTATGTTTCCCGACAAGACAGGTACAATAAACAAATAGTACCGGGCATAAACTTAAGATTCCAAACTACCTTATTTAAATATGGAAACTATATCTTTTGATACGGACGTGTCAGATGATGTAGTGATAAGAGTGTGTGGTAGTTATCAGTTAGGCAAGTTGGTGTCGGAGATCGAGAGTAGAAGTAAGAACAGAGTATAGAATACAACAAGAAAAGACCAAGGTGTCAACAAGACTCTAATTCGAACTCGAGTAAACTAGGACAAAATATGGGCAAAGGACAATCACACTTAGAAACTGCATATTTCCATATGGGATCCTGATTGCAACCATAAATCTTCCCCATAGTCTTAATCAGCATGCTACATTCGAAACCCTTTATTAATAGCTTTTTCCGTTAGCAGTCGACATTTATCACGGAAGTGATGATATCCGGAGCTAGTTTTTGAACACCAAATCAACTACTTCTTATAATCCAAGAAGGTTGGGAAACCTCGGATGCTTCTGTCGAGAAGGGGGAAAATTCATTAACTCACTAACTCGTCTGTCAACGGCTAAATGCCAAGAATCTTTGCAAAGTCTTAAACATAATCTTTTCAAAGCGAAAAAAGTGACATTCTGGTGAAGATGATAAAGTAGTCGAAACCCTGCGCGGGCGACATGCGTCGCTCAGGTGAAAGGGATGAATAATATGAATATGTATCATTTATATAGCGCCTATAAAATATAAAAAAAGATATGCTTAACATCATATGGATATTAGTTTTACTTTAACAAAAACAGGCTTGCAATCACCATTATACATTTAGCAAGAAAATAATCATCTCGATGAGCACATAAATGAACAAATAAAGGGTGGTATGTACATGACATCTGAGCAAAGAGCCTAAATTGCAGACGTGAAGAGTTGACATGTTATGTCTTGGCCCTCAGCAGAGACAATGATAAAGAACCCAATGAGAAGATACCAGAGGAGAAAAAAAAATCTATTGAAAAGATTTAAAAAAAATGAAGTGGAACCGATAAAATTAAAAAGAGTACATTAAAAATACAAGCATTTATTTCGCCCTCTTTACATACAAAAATTTGTTTAACAAAATTTTAAACACCAGAATGGTTTCGGAATCCTTGACAGAAGGTATAATAAAACTTTTTTGCAAAAACAAGGGCGACGCGAAATATCCAGACACTTACATAGCTATCACACTTTTTTATATCATTGGAAAATATTTACGGTTATAATTAATTAATGACTAAATAAATTAGCTGATGAGACCAACCTTATATCTAACTCGCAAGCTTGGTTTAGGAACAGTAATTCAACAATCGAAAACATCTTTATATTTCATGCTTTATTTTATTTTTTCATTAGAAAATATACAGTTCATTTAGTGATTTCAGAAAAGCTTTCCACACATTTTGGCGGGTCGGATTGTGGATAAAAATAATCTCAAACAAAGTATGCGGAAATGCATTCAAAGTTATGTATAATCATAACTAAAATACCAATACAATGGATATGAAATGTCTGCCGTTTTCATTTGCAATGTCGGGATGGAAAAAGGCGAAAATATATCCTGATTTTTGTTTTCTCTATATTTAAATGACATAGAAATGGTATGATGACGTAGATAACTATTCTCGTGGTAAAACCTATTCAATTTTCAAAAAAGGAATGGAAATTTGAACCATATTTGTTGAAACTCTATCAAGATGAACGGAAAATGTTATGCGAATTTAGAATGTCCAATTTAAGGCTGCCAATCAAAATAAGTCGATGGACAGGCGTCAGAGTGACTTATAACAGAAATATGTCTTACAAACATTCCTGATTATTAATACATGTAAATCAATCCAGTGATTGTCAAAGCGGATGGTATGTTTTTTAATTGTTATTATTTTTTGCACAGCAAAACGTGTGTGTTTGTGTGTGCGTGTGTGCGTGCGTGTGTGTGTGTGTGTGTGTGTGTGTGTGTGTGTGTGTGAGGATGAATGTGGGTGTGTGGGTGTGGGTGGGTGTGGGTGTGCTATGCTACGTATGTATGCATATATATGCTTTAGAATGTATTAGTCTATCCATTTGGTCTGTCATTATAAAATGTATCTGACGACTGACCTCCTGTTACACACGATGTGTGTATCTTGATGAATTAACAAATCTTGAATCTATCTCGGTTATAAAAATATACGTCCATCACTTCCTGAGAAATAACCATAACAAGAATTGTTTAGGGTCGGACGACGGATTACAGAAAGTCAATTAAAACTTTATTTTTTAGCATTTAACGTCCTTGCACAATCTATAGTCATATGAAGACGGCTCCAGAGGGAGACGCCGCCGAAAAAGAGTAGTAGAAAAGGAAAAGGGAAAAAAAACACAGATCCCAAGTATTACAGTAGGGGAAGAATATCATACAGTAAACCCCACAATTGTTCTGGGTCCCACGTGTGTCGCCTCTTACGATAGCATGAAGTGAGACTTCGCAGGCCTATTCTTCGCCCAAACCTGCTGGGAATGCGTCTTAAACTTAAAACTTTTTAAGATATAACAAACATACATCAGTCAGCGAATGCTAATGTATCATTTTCTATGCTTATTTAAAAATAAATCTTTCATACAACTCTACATTAATATATCACCAACTTCAAATGAGCCTTTACCTGTTTGTTGTTGGATAAAGACATACCTGTTGCATTGCGAGATACGTTCTTGTTCTTCTGGTACATTTGAATCAACACGGTTTTACTGAAGCTAGCATGAGTCTGTATGCCGAGGTCTTGAAGTTTACATCTAAGCTTCGCTTTCGTCCAGTTTGTATGGTCATTGATGTTATATTGCGACGTAACCCTTCTCCTAGAACGGCCTCGACGGTCTGCCATTTTTTTTCAGAACTGACCGATTACAAATTAAAACAGAAGCACAGCAAAACCATGATTGTAACTGAAAAGACACTGATGAAATGCGAATATTTAAAAAGTCCTTTCTCCATTCAATATTGTGCCTGACATATAAGAGATGTTCCGCATTTCAATGTTGCTGATATATTCTGACACATAGTAAATTCCAAATCAATTAAAGCTGTGTCTTTTGAAGGTTGAAGATTGGTCATGTTCGCAATAGGAAACATACTCCTCCATGACTGATTTCCTGTCAAAATATATCCAAAATAACAATAAAGCCTTCATATCATAGCTATACGTTTTAACATATCAATTTATTTCAAAATAGAAGAAACACGAAATTTTAAAACGTAAACCAATCTATAGGCCTTGAAAAGGCAGCTTATAAATAATGCATTTTGGAATATGTTTTACATTTGATCAATATATTACCTGGCCCTTTGTATTATTGATAAAACCTCCCAGTATAACTATGCCTATTTCCATTGCAATTGTTGTAAGGATTTACTCATTGTCCCAATTAAGGTAATAGTGGTTATGCCTCTAATTGTTAGTAACCTAACAGGAGGTCAGAAGTTCTAATTTTGTTAAGGGATTTGTATGACTACTAAAGAAATAGATATGCGTTGCTATGTCCATAGCTAGAGAGGAACATTGTCAATGATAAACCCCTAATTCTGTGTATTGTGCCCCGTGCATTAGCACTGGTGATGCCCAATACCTATTCGGGTGAAAATGATTCAGTACTTATTCAGAATAATCATTTTTCCCCTAGATCACACTATATTTACTTTGATCCGTAATGAGAGAAATTAAACCCTCTGATCACTATATTGATGCATCCCTAATTTTAAAAGACTTTATTATGTTCACTTTTCTTAAAGGACATTGCGTTTTCCTATGTAAATTTCGACAAAAACATCGTTACTCCTACTTTTTCCTCCTACTGTTGAAATAGTGTAGCCCTACTATTTATAGATAAAATATCTGTTAGACATTAATAGCACCCTGTCACATCCTCAACAATGAAGTAGGTGATCTTAGATGTAGTGTCACTGATTATAAGAGTTGCAGAGCGATCACAAATCACCTCTCTTCTCCATGTCGGAGTCCTAAAATGATACTAAATGATTCATTTGTAAATGGTGTAGTGTCAGTCTAGAGCGAAGTGATCGATTTCAAGGTTAACTAGGCAAATGTCAACTAATGTTATACTGACGTACTGCATGGAGCTCTGAATTCCGCTTTTGTGTCATTGTGCATAGCGCAATGTATTCAGAATGTATGTGTGCTTGCTTTGCGGTGAATTAAAAAGGCAGGTATTGTTAGATAACTATTCGTCATATAGGTAATGGCAGTAGTACTACTACTTAAATTACAGAATCGACTGACAATTAACTAAAATAATTTAGACCAAAAAAAGACATGAGTAGAGTTAATGAACCCAGTCTATCAGTCTAGTCATCCGCTAATACACGAGGTCGAACATCTTACAGAGAATATCAAATAGTGGTCATCATAATCACCAAATATATGGGACCTTGTCTAGCCTAATGAGGAAGGGATGGTCAGTAAAATTGACATTCATGCCCCGTTAGGTAAAAGTTACTACTCTGTGATAAAGTGTACCTCTTTGTGTAAACTGCAGCAGAAAAGAAGATCAAAACTTATTTTGTGCAAAATAAGGAAACTATGACCTTTTGAAAGAGCTTTTGTCAATTAAATTGTTAAAAGGGTTAGAGGAACTTGAATCACTAGCTTTCGACGTAAATTCGCAATGGACACACTTTAGGGAGAAGCTTACAAACGCCATTGATATGTATATCTTAGTACACAGGCCGAGCACATCTCTACAAAAAAATGAACAGTGAAACATACCCAGAATAAGTACGGATCATGTAAGTTGAATGACAAAGTCACCAAAAGTGACAAAGAAAAAGCCGGGATGTTGGCAAAATTATTTTTCACTTCTATATTTACAAAAAAATCGAATGAAAATATTTTATGATAATATTGATCTCATTATGTCTTGAAAACCTTTGAAAAGCTCAATACAAGAAAATCCTCATGTCCAGATAATCTCACCTGCAATTGTGAAAATAATTAAGTTCCGTCATAAGCTAATTATTGTCCATTTGATTTAATACTTGTCTTATAATAGGATCGATACTCGCGGATAAGTAGCAAGCAAATGATGCAGGCATTTTCAAGAAAGGAGACTGTAAATTATAAAGCAACGTTTGATCTATTAGCGTAACACGTATTTGCTGCAAAGGATTTGAAACAATTGTGCGTGAGACAATTTTCAAGAAAGGAGACCGTAAATTTGCGAGCAACTCTAGATCTATTACCGTAACACATATTTGCTGCAAGAAATTGGAAACGATTGTGCGTGAAACAATTATCAATCACGTGAAAAATAATAAGCTCTTCAGTAAGAGCCAATTCGGATATATTCAAGGCAGTTTACGAGATAAAATTGTTCTTTAGAACAGAATTTGATCGACAAACGTTTGCTTGCTCATTCAAGTTTGTCCTCTGAAGATTATCTATACACTCGCACGTAAAAGAGAGTTTTATCTCTAAAAGTTGATATTTAACAAAATTATGTTTTTTGACTTCCATTTCAAATCTGTCCAGGCTTTGTATGTAACAAAATGTTTTTATAACGACAAAGTATATTTAAGTAGGTGTATGGTCTGTTTAGAAATCACCTGTACCAAATAATTGACAACAAAATGTACTTTTACCTTACACATTTTTTGTGTTCAGGATTATTTCAACTTATGATATAAACCTCTATTGTAAATAGAGAGAATACTTATTTTAACAATAAATAATGAAAGTACCGAAAATACTAGTGTAGTTTGTTTTGTAGGTTCAGCTAATTATCAATAGAAAACTTTGTACAAAAGGTAAGTTTTAAGGTTACCTTATAGCAAAGATCAAAATCGATTTTTTTATAAGATATCATGATCATAGGTCAAATTGCTCGTCGAAATAAATCAAAATACATCTATGTACTGTATATACTCGTATCGTTTATCATGAAGTTTTACCAAAGGTCGAATAAGTATCCACAGGTCATAGATCCACTAGACCATCAAAAAAACATTCGTACCACTTTTATCAGTAAACAAGAATTTAATATTGTCTTTCCCGGTAGCAACAACGTTCTTTCATAATGAACATATTTTGTCAAAAAAAACAGCTAAAAATCACTACTTCGTTATTCACTATCCCATTGAATGGGATAATTGTCTCGCGATAATATTGTAATTAAATATTCGAGCATTTATGTAATCCACAATCAAAAAGGTTAGCGAGCTAATGAAATCCATAACATTCCAAAAAAACACATAAACTAAACAGTCATTCAGACATTGTCCGGCATCATCTTGCACCCAAATTGTTACAGTCTTGAATTCTTTTTATGATTTTTTAAAATCAAAATCACATATATCTAAATTTTCGTTTTTTGACAAATATTTTCAAGGCAGACAAAAAGTTAAGATTCTATTTAAAATATTTCTTAAATAGAGCACCAAACTCGCCTCAATTTTTGGGCAATAACAAGTTTTAAGTTATATACAATATTACACCCCATGAAACAGTGGTTCATCGGGTACCCTATAAAAACCGACTGAATAAAAGCTACTTTGTAGAAATACAGACAAAATTCTTTTTTTGATATACCCTAAGATAACACGTGGTCCTGAGGGCTTGTATCGCTCACCTGGATATTTCAGCAGTTATAGCAAAATATTCTCATTAAATGTGATAATACACTACATATATTTCCAAACATGGCTCTGTCTCCCAGCAACACCCTTAATTTATTGGGTCCCATCCCTCTGTCCCTATTGGGGTTGGGGCATGGTTTATTCAACATTGAATCATATTGGGTCAATGACACCCTAAATCAAATTAGATTTGGAAAGTGCTGTAGGATAAAAAAAAATCCTTACCTATGACTCTTTACAAGATTTTAATTTGAAAAAAATACCTCTTAGTTATTACGAAGAGTCATTTAAATATGTTAACACATTTGATCCCTATGACCTTGAACATAGGTTAAGGTCATTTCCATTCGCATTATTTGTTGGGCTCCATCTAAGGAAGCTACTTGTTAAACATCACAACTCTATGTCTTTCAGTTCTTCAAAAGAAGCCGATTGCATTGTTTGCCATATTTGACCCATGTGACCTTGAAAGTAGGTTAAGATCATTTTCAATCACAAACTTTGTCGAGCTCCATCCCGAGAAGCTACCAGCCAACATTTATTGGAATATTATGATTATATACCTCTAAGTTCTTCAGAAGAATTCGTTTGAAGTGTTTGACATAATTGACCTTTATGACCTTGAAAACAGATCCAGGTCGTTTTAATTTGCTAATTTTGTCGGGCTCTATCCCTAGAAGCGACCTAGAACCTTAGTTTTATAAGGAACATGGCTTCCTTGTTGTTTGACCACCGTTCAATATGCTACCTGCGTTATAGCATGGATTTATTGCAGATCCCATCGTATTACCCTACCAAATCATCAGTTAAATATTACAATTCACTTCATGTGCTTAAAGTGCGACGTTTAAATGACAGTGCAGCTATCAGACATAACATAAACAATGACTTGGTCAGTTTCATGTTGTTTTTAATATATCAGAAAGTAATTGATACCCACTACACAAGTGCACCTCGATTGGTGCTAAAATAAAACTTGTAACAATTGATAATGTAGAAAGGACAAACAAATTACGCAATTTACGATTTCAACAAAAATTGGATACATATTGTTTATATCACCCTCAATCAACTACACTAGCTGCATACCATGTAACAAGGCCTTAACAATCCTATATAATCTCCGCCAGTAATATTAATAAACTCTAAAAGATCTTCTATACGTCGCAACATGATTCGGTCTTCCTGTAGAAAATTGACTTATAATAAATGTAGTATTTATTGTTTTGTTTATCATAATATTATTAAAAGAACTCAAAAAACTGTGAACGCCAAACTCGTTAAAATTTCCAGATGGATTTTGACTTTCTCTATTCAGGTGATATTGAGTCTAAGTCAAGGTCATGCATTGAAGTAATTTAACACCCTTTAAAGACCTTGTAGAACTTGATAAAAAAAATCTCGAAAATGTTAAAACTTAATGCAACCGAGAACCAAACCTTCTCTGTGTCAGAAAATAGTATTTTTTCCAAAATGATGTACTTTAAAATCAGTTAATATTCTGAAGCTTTCGTTAACATTAAGATTACACATGCATTAAACTGACTCCGATATGTTCCTAATGGATATTAAAACAATCACCATGGTAACTCTTTGTTAATTTAAATGATAAACCGGTGATAAGAGATTATGTCTCTCACTTTCGTATTTCACTGTGCCATTAAGTCATGTTATTCTATCTATTACAAGTATTAATTTAGAATAGTTTGCCTTATTCCGAGTAATGATTTTTTATTTTGGTAAACTGATAGTTTATTTTCGTAAAACACCTTATACAGAGTAACCAATTGCATTCTGTAAACAGTAGAAAGCCATAATAAAATAAGTTATCATATGAAATGGTTTATTTAAAATATTGGCTGGATCAGTGTGATTATTAAGAAACATTATTTCTATTTGATAAATAACACAGATCCGTAATACGAGATATTACTATTTTTCTATATTTTCTTTATGTTCACTGGTGTGACGGAAAAATAAGATATCTACATTTTATATATCATATATTCCTTTTTGTCTGGCCCAGTTGCAAGATAAATGGCAGAGAGTTTGGGATCCAGCTCTCGGTTAATCATCCTGTCAAGGTTAGAGCGTTTCTGATTATTTTGTGTGTGAAAGAAACATTAGTAATGTATGCAGGAAATACATATCGATTATATATAGCAATGAATCAACCGGTATTGCCGCTGTGTTTAATTATGAAAAACAAATTATATGACATCAAAATCAAAAAGGCAGCAAAGCATAATTTGGGAAACCTTCTGTTTTGTCTTTCTTTGTCTATATGAAGTTCAATCCTCGGGCCAGAATTCGAGGAAAAGAGATAGCAACACTTTGAAACGATCACGTTATGAACATTTTCAATAAATTCGGTTACAATCGATTAAAAGAATTAAACTGGTATATCAATGACTCAATAGGACTTTGTCACTTTTATAACCACGGAATCCTAAGATGATAGAAATCGTGTATTTACAAATAGGTCACAGTTATTATGTAGTATCAGGTGTGAGGAAGGCTAACAAAACAGGAAGATGATTGTTTAAACCCAGTAGACCTTTGGTAATAATATTTTCACAGGTACATATTAAAATATGTTTATAAAGGAATACCAAATATGATATTTGTAGAAATAACGAAGAAAGTTGTATAATGTTTATCGAACACGACTGGTTATTTCCCCTATTATATTCCAAAGGATTTAAAATGAACAAAACAAAACCAGAAGTAAGTCAGTAGCAATACATACTTAAGTAAATGTCCTAATTATCAGTCAATTAATTAAATATCGGTACATACCTAAAGGCTACGTGACGATTCCGGTATCTTGGTACACTGGTAGTTTATAAATTCATCTACCTAACATATCGCCATAAAAGAACACACACAGTGACGGGCAGCGACAGGACTTATACGTATAATGTCACATAATCACGTGACGGATATTCCAGTGACGTACACAAAACAATCGATGACTTCCAACGCATTTATTGATAGACAGTTAAACGAAATGATAAATATTATAGATAGCTTTTGTAGAATACATTGTTTTGCCAATACTTGCTGTGATATCATTGTGGTAATAGTTTATCTATGTCACGTTGCTATCGTGTCCTCTATCTTGAAATTTATATCTGGAAATGATCTCATAATTGTTATTTTCATTTAGTGATACAACTACAATGTATCAGTCGTTTTGCTTTGGCCTAGAGCAGAAAGGTGATTTATATATGAAATAAGCGACTTGCTTGCAACGCCGACCCGTTTCCTTATCAGGCTCATTATGGAGGTTTTATTATAAAATAAATAAAGATGTCAGTAATAAAGGTTTTAATACGAGTGTGTAATATAATTAGTATTTACATAGAAAGAAAGAACATATAGCTGATCACGGTTGAATTTGAACTTGTGGATAATCGTTAATGATGACATTAAGGCCATTATTAGCAATACAAAAACGTACTTACTTGGTGTTATTAATCGAGTTAAATAGAAATAACATAAATTGAACAAAATATAGAATTTATAAAATAGTAAATGGCTTTATACGTCAGTCTAGATGCCATGTTTAATAAATGTAGAGTATCCTGATGTCAAAAGTCAGGGCTTTCTGACATCAAACGTCATTGCTATCTGATATCTAACCTTGAAGAGGTTATGATGAAAGCTGATGACGACATTATATCATCATTAAGGCTTTAGGGCCACCCGATATAAAACTGTAGACGTCCTGCTATTAAAATTAAAAACGACTTGATATCAAAATAACGGCGCCTTAATGAAATATCTAAGGGGCAATCTAGCACTGTATCATTATTGAAAGGCCATATGCTATTGACATGGGGGGTAAACTGTTATTAAAACTCAGAGCCACATGATATTAAAACCTTAGACTATTTAATATTAAAAACAAGAGCCAACTGATACCCGAAACAATTGCCGCCAGTGAAATAATATGAAACTCAAGGGACGACCTGGTATGGAAATGTAGGACGCTTTTAAGGGAAACCTGATATCAAAACTTCCGTGATCTGATGACAAAGTGAAGCGCGACTGGATATCAAAACTGGGTATCTGATACAAAACCAAGGGTGGTCTGACATAAAAACTAAGGGGTCACCTGCTATCGGAATTACAGATTAGCTAACATTTTATCGTACATATGTAGGACATCCTGATCAACCTTATCAAGGACAGATATTTTACTTAGAGATATATTGCTGTTAATAAAAGTGAATTATTTTTATTGAAATTTAATACTGAATGGAAAAAATAGGATAGTCTAATTAATGTTGCTTAAATCCTGTCTTTGCCAAAATATGAACATATAACTATAGAATATTCTTATATAAACGTGTACTTCTAAATACATATATGTAAAACTCCTTGAACTTTCCGACACATCTATATAGCTTCTTTGTTTCTCAACCCCTCCCCATTATTGTTTTTTTCTCTCTCTCTCTCTTTAGTATTACTTTCCCTTCTATACCTCTATGACCTGCTCTAACCTCTTTTCTATCACTTCTAAACAATGCTTATATGTAACTGACATAATTTAGCTGTTATTTAATTTGACATAAACATAATTAATTATTAATTATACTTGGAAAAAATAGAGAAGTACCATGGCCATATATGCAGTATATTATAAATGAATATTGTAATAATGTCTATGTATGATATATTCGCATTGTATTAAACTTGGAAAAAAATACAAAACAATTTACATAAAAAAAAAAAACATTTTACCGTACATATGTAGAACATCCTGATATCGTAATGCAGGCAAATAGTAAACCTTAGAGGCGACCTGGTACGAAACGAACGCGAACTTATATAATAATTGAAGGTAAAGTGCCACGAAATATAAAACTTGTTAAATTCTATGGCTGGCGACCGGCAACAAAAAATTAAAGCTTAGAGATGTCCTGGTATTAAAACGTCACCAATTTACACAAAATTTAAAGCGACTTGATACTAAAATCTTAAGGCGAACTGGTATCACAAATTACGTCGAACTGAAAGTAAATATCCTGTCAACCTGCTATTTCAACTGAATGACGTGAAATCAAAATTGGGCAACCTGAAATCAAAATCCATGGCGACCGGAAATGGAAACGATGAACGACCTGAGGGCAAGCATTACGATGACCTGATCTCATGACTTATCGCGACCTTGTTATAGCCGTAGTAGATTTACACATGCTGACAAATTTCATCACAATTTAGGCCTCTATGTTATACAATGTAATGTAAAGCTATTTTATTGAATACTATATGACTTACCTCCCGTTTCTCTATCATTGATATGTTCGATATAAATGTACAATCATCCCTCATAAAAAAATACAATTGCTATATAATAACACATACTGTCTGAATCAACACCTTATAAATTATATACAAAGTAGGCATATCTTGTCTCAGTCGTATTTATTGATACATAAAGTTGTAACATTTATATATTATTTGGGTATAGATCATCTGTCATCAATATCCTCAAATGCTGGAGTCTCCATTAATCTTTAATAGCATAATCACAGTTTTCTCTATAAAAATAAACCTGCTGCACCAGTTGCAATAGTTGGCACCTTTATAGTTCTCTCTACTTCTAACTACCTTTTGTTTCCTAGCGCCTTGCTTGGCAATACCTCACTTTTGGCTTTAATGTTGAACGTTTGAAATAGTAATTCAATCGGTTCTTTATTGTGTCCAGGTGACTTATTTTCCGGAACAGGGCTTAACACTGTGTCATTCTGGTAGCATTAGCATGATGTCAAGTGAAAATCGAGTGCAAACTAATGTCCGAATCGTATGCGGGAAAATATCCGAAACCGTGAAAACGAAAACCGTGCCATTATCCACATGGCCCTAGGGTTGGAATCTCAACAGTTTCCTCGCTGTGATAAAGGCTTTTAGTATACAGGGACAGAGCTGGAACTCATGGCAAATGTTGATAAAATAAATGTATTTGTCTAATTATATAACACATGGGTATGCATGGTTATTGCGTGGGGATGTCGCCAATTTCGAAGATATGACTAAAAAACCGTATTGACCCCTTCCCCTTGGGTAAGGAAAGAACCCATGACGAATTCTGGTGAAAATGTGTATTCATCTCTTCCAGCAAAGCAATATAATAAATCGTTATAGGGTGAAGATTTCCATCTTTTCCAGCTGATGACCTTCTTTTTGTATTTGACCCAAATCCTGGAGAGGGAAAAGGCCCCAGCGCAAGTTCTGATAGAATGAATGTATTTTTCTACCGATAATGGATAGGAGTAAACATGAATTTAGGGAACAAGTATAAATAAATAGACTTAGGGTGTGGATGTCGACCGGGTCATCACACATTGTATATTATTTCCATACCTTGGTTATCGAAGGTCACCCAATATTATTCTTTTCGTAGCTTTGTTCCCCATGGTCTTCAAACACTACATACAATGTATTTTATTAATAACATGGTTCCCCCGGGTCACCCAAAATTATATATGCTATTCAAAGCCTGGTTCCCAAGGGTCACACACCATTATATACTCTATTCATAGCCTGGTTCCCAAGGGTCACACAACATTATATACTTTATTCATAGCCTGGTTCCCAAGGGTCACACAACATTGTATACTCTATTCAAAGCCTGATTCCCAAGGGTCACACACCATTACATACTCTTTTCATATTATCCCTGAGTCACACATCATTATATACTCTATTCATAGCCTGGTTCCCAAGGGTCACACAACATTATATACTCTATTCATCGCCTGGTTCCCAAGGGTCACACAACATTACATACTATATCCATATTATCCCTGAGTCATACACCATCATCGACTCTATTCATAACCTGGTTCCCAAGGGTCACACACCATTATATACTCTATTCATAGCCTGGTTCCCAAGGGTCACACAACATTACATACTATATCCATATTATCCCTGAGTCATACAACATCATCGACTCTATTCATAACCTGGTTCCCAAGGGTCACACACCATTATATACTCTTTTCATATTATCCCTGAGTCACACACCATTATATACTCTATTCATACCATGGTTCCCAAGGGTCACACACCATTATATACTCTATTCATAGCCTGGTTCCCAAGGGTCACACACCATTATAAACTCTATTCATAGCCTGGTTCCCAAGGGTCACACACCATTTTATCCCGCCTCAGGTAAAAATCCTGTAGTCCTTTTGGTTAAAACGACGTCACATGATATCCAGTATATTTTCATATTAGGTCAGGAGAATCTCGCATTAGGTGAGTACGAAAGAGTTATCGTTCTTTGCCCATAAGAGTCAACTTGTAACAAGATGGCGACCAAGCGGTTTGTGCAGACGACAGCCGATGAAATGTTAACAAAGCGGGTGAAAGTAAATGCTGACAACACTATCAAGGCCAATCAAAAGTCGGCGCGAATTATGTATTAAATGATGTATTAAATTATGTATTAAATTTTATATGTTAAATTTTTTATTGTTGGATTAAATGTTGAATTTTGTATTATTTTGCATTTTTTTTATCCAAAGGGCCTTCGACGGGATAAATTCGTTACACAGTTTGTTAGTGACCTAATACCGAAAAATATTGGGTCTAAAAGAAACTTGTATCGGGCTCGGCGAGTTTCTTTTAGACCCAATATTTTTCCGTATTAGGTCACTAACAAACTGTGTAACTAATAATGTCCTCTATTCATAGCCTGGTTCCCAAGGGTCACACAACATCACATACTCTTTTCATATTATCCTTGAGTCACACAACATTATAGATTCTATTCATAGCCTGGTTCCCAAGGATCACACAACATTACTTACTATATCCATATTATCCCTAAGTCACACCATATTATAGACTCTATCCATACCATGGTTCCCAAGGGTCACACAAC